GCCATCTCATTTAAACTGCTCCAGACCTGACAGAGGCTTAGAAAGCTGAGTGACTGAGGCACAGCCAAATTTTGTGGGTTCAACGTAGGCTGAATTACAATAGCAGAACAGCTATGAATTATCATACAAGTTTGTTACATGGCAACTAAGGTCATATTATTTATAATTTTCAGCAATCTTGGAACCTGTACTTAGGTTCTGCAAACACAGAAGGCCTGGTCTCTTTCCAAAAAAAGAATGGGAACGAAGTCAGTGTGTAAGAGGATGGCTAAAAAGATGGATTTTTAAACCAAATCCAGCTGCCTCCTTGGAAAATGCAGTTCCTCCTGAGGCCTCTCTTGACAGTTTTGACAGGTTTATAGCAGAGCCAATTTAATTTCAAATAGCAAAATTATCTTCATAACCCCTGCAATGCTTGGGTTACCCTGACAGTCTAGACAGCACAGATGTGGCTGCACTAAGCTGATGATTCTGCCCTCACCTGCAGCACAGCAGCTGTTTTTTCTATCGATGGCTCTTTTATTTTGTAGGTGACTAATGCATCAGCTGTTGGAAAATAAGTTAATCTTACTCAGCCAGTCAGCATTCAAATATGCAGCTCACATGTCTATCTGATATTTAATTTTTGAGCACAGATGCAGTACTTTTGGGGAGAAGGGTCAGACAGAGACCATACTCCTATCCATCACTTGACACGAAGTTTTTAAGTTCTCAGAGTAAAGGCCAAGTTGCCTTGTGAAGTAGAGCCAGCACCAAGAATAGAATTACTTTATTTGCCATGTCTGCCTTTCAGCACCATTCTGTGGGTTTTTTTCCATTGACAGACTTCATGTTTTGTTCAGGAAAAGACTATATCCACCCTCCATCTGTGAGCATGTGTTTCTTTCTCATAAGTTCTCTTTGTAAGCTAATGGGTTGTTAGTGAGGTTAGGCTGCCTTAGTGAGATCACACTGAGGCTCAGGCTTTCCGGGCAGTCACAGGCAGGCTTGTGAAGAGTACATGGTTGCAGCTGCTCTGGGTGGGAGAACTGATATGCATGCTTAACCCCCTGGCTCACTCCTTCCCCTTTCCTCACCCACTGGTTAGCTGACCTAAAGATTTCCCTGGAAATCCATTTGTCAGGCTGTAAAGTCTTGGCTCTGTTTTCGAGAACAAGAAATACATTTTAGGTCTACTAGGCATGTCTTGGTCAACAGCATCAAGGACCATGCAATCAATAGCATTTCTGACATAAAACAGGCTTGAGCTGAAGGTCTGATTAAGATCCAGACTATGCTGTTATACACAGAAAGTAAAGCCAGGGTCTTGAAATATTTGCAAAAATAAACACCATCAGCCAAGCCCACCCTGCAACAAATCACAGGCAGTCTCATAAAGGCCCTTTACAGTCCCTGACAGACATGATGTAAGTGCTGAGTGGCCCAAGCAGCCCCTCCTCAGCCCCTGGCTCCACGTGTACCCAGGCACTCCCTCCCTCCTGAGGTTCTGCCACTGCAGGGAAAAGGACAGCTCTGCTTGGGCCACTCAGCACAGAATCATAAGAGAGGCACCATATGAAATATAGAAGACAGAGAGTGATATGCCTTTCTGGGGAGAAGCTTTAAGGGCATTACTAATTTCATTAAAGTTGTATTCATGTCCCTCTAGGATCAGACTGTTATTTATTATAGGACCTAACTACCCTTGCATGATGTGTATTATATAGGAACAAGTAGTAGCTAACTTAAAACTCCTAAGAACCAATCTAAAATCATCAGGGGAGAGAAGTGGGTAGAGCTAACATTACAAAACACCTTAGGAAAGCTAAAGAAAGCAGGCAGAAGCCTGGTTTTGGTTCTCTCTTTTTTTTTTTTCTTCTCTCTCTTATGGGTTGATTAAAAAACTATATAAGAAGAGGGCTATTGTAAGATTCAGGAGATTTATCTTGAAATATTTCTGGAAGAGTGGTTCTGGAGGGAAGTATATATGCCGTTACAAGTTCTGTATATAGGCACTGTAACATATGAAATCACATTTCTCAATCACCCTCAGGGATCCCTTGGAGGTTTTCCACAGGAACTCTTCCACTCTCCCCCTTCCACTTCATAGTGCATAAGTTAAAACACTGTTTTTAAAAAAAAAGTTTGTCCTGCTTAGGTTTTTTTTTTTTCTCCCTATAATTTTTCTACAGGCTTTCTTGAAAGGAGAATATACCAGGGCAATTTGATGCTGAAGGTTATATTCTGTCTTATTATCTCATTTAACCTTCTTAATTAACTGTATCTTACTTAAACAAAGCAACTTAGTTGCAGCAGAGGATACCATCTGTCACTTAGTGTGTGTAAAATATTAAAATATTTTTATCCTGAAACTACCACCATCTGGAAATAGTTAGCATGGGAAAACAAAAAAGCCCATCTAAGTTCACAAGTGTTATTGCCTTGAACAAGAAGCTCAGCGTTCCCATTCATATATTTATTCTACCAAAACATCATTTTTAAATCCAAACAGCTTGGAAAGCTCCTGATGTTGCTTATGTGTGCTAAAGCCCAGGCTGAGGTGACCATGTTTGCCTTGCAGCAACAAATGTCAATTTGCACTCCATAAAGCATTGTGCACAGGTTGTAGCTGTGATTGTAGATGGGTGTAGGACATACTTCCCTCAAGGACCACTCTTCCAGAAAGGCCCTCATACCACTCTAATATTCCATATCCTCTAGGTTGCTTTGGTTTATATTTGAAGTCAGAGCACTGAGCATCTTCTGGGATAGAGATGGTAGTCTATGGAAGAAACAGAAGTATCCTCAGAATGTTTTCTGTTCTCTGGTGAATATCTTTGATATTAATGAACACAAGTCCATATCATGAAGATAAAACTTTTAAAAACAAATGGCATCTCTGCCATCTCTTTTTACATTAGTGGCACATTGGAAAGAAGTATAAAATCTGCTTAACATAGCCTTGTGTCCTTCATTGAAAAAAAATATATACCTGTTTCTAATCAGTAAGTATTTGCTCAAGCAAATATTAGCTCTTCAAACAGCAGCTACTTTGGAAGTAGCTGCAGTTATCTCAGTTGCATATGATGTTAGTCAGAGCAAAGTTTTTCTGTTGCTTCTTTTCTAATCCTTGTTCTTTGCACTTCAAGAGAGAATAGGTTAAATTCAAATCTTCTAATCATACCAAGGCAAATCCACAAGCAGGACAACAGAATTATTTAGGCATGTAACTCCTAGTTTATTATTTTAAGACTTTGTGAAAACTGTCTTTGATAGTTAATATCCTATGTTCAACATCTGATAGAAGGGCAAGTCTATTACTATTACCCAATGGTGCTTTCCCAATTAACAGAAGTTATTTCTAGGTTCATCAGGCCAGTTTAAGCAAGTTTATAATGACACTCTTCACCTGCAACTGACCTCCTTGTGCAACTATTTTGGCTGGATCTGTGACTCAGCCTGCAGACACCATAGCCTAATGTTAATAAATGCTGGAGGGATCAACACTTACACCCTCAGCCACTACATTACAAACCAAAGAAAGTTGGCTGTCAGACAAAATTGTTCCCGCTGAGAAACTGTAGTGCTTTTCTCTTCATGTACCATGTATCATGAGTATCACACAAGACAGGAAGACAGAGGAGCCATTGAAGCAAAATATTAGAGAGCTTGAACATAAAGTCTCCCCTTGCTCATCCCACCCCAAGGTTCTCACAGCTGTTCAGCATTTCTGTGTGGTGCTCCTGCCAAGCAGGTGTCTCTGCTTCCCTGAAGGGCTGGTGACAAATGACTATTCGAGTTCAATTTGTGCAATGGAAACTGTTTCCATTACAAGCATAAGTGAAATATATCCAAGCAACTGATTCTGGGATCCCAAAGCCCGCATGTTTTTATAACCTACACCAACATAGCCTTATCCTTTCCACAGGTCAGTTCAATGATTTCTTTGTTCCTCAGCTCATGAAACACGAGTTGGCAAACATCACCTCCACTACAGCAGGTACTCCTCTAAATTGCCTGGTTTAGAGGCTCAAACCAAGGTTTGCTCAGAACTTCAAGAGATTATTAATGCAAGAGAACCACTGCAAAAAGCCTACATACACATTCCTTCCTTATGCATAACTTAAATACTGTCAACACATATTTCTTTGCAGTCTAGTAATTCCTACATTAATCATTCTGCAGTTTAGTACTGAACAGAAGAATTGCATCATATTGTAATAATTTGACCATTCCTAAACTGAGGCTGCCAGTGGTTGACTGCAAACTGTGACAGATTTTTAAATTACCTGGTGTTTTTAGTTGATCATGCATGATCAGAGCATTTCCAACTTTCTAATACATTCCTCACATATAGGGAAGACAGCCTGAGCTATACTTCAGACTAAGGCTCATGTTAAGTGTTCCTTTAATACAAGTTTCTAGGAACCAAGCCTGTATATTAAGATGAATCAACATTTTACTACATGGTACTTTTGATATTTTCAACGTTTTCCAGAAACACTGGAATATCTCTTAATCACAAGGGACATGACTTGGCTCTGTCGTTGAGAGAAGGCTCACTGAAGTCCTTCAGGGTATCTGACAAGCAGGTGCCTGTCGGGGATGGATATGACAGTATCTAGAGTAACCAAGCTAGCAAAATTCAGCAGCAAGAAAATAACTCTTGAAACTTGATTACTCTTTAAGTTCTGCTATCTGCATTTCAGTTATGCTGACTAGCAATCAGTCTGCTTATTTAAACAAATAGTTATCTATACCACAGATACAGTGTTTTCTGTAACAGCAGACAGTTTATTCAGTGTTAACACTGCTCTGGTACTACTACTTAATCTAACAGCCCTAGTATCTACCTTAATGAACCTTTCATAGTTATGATTTTGTTCATGAGTGACACAAATTCTGGATATTCCATTCAAAAATTCAGAGTAGCTGTGCAAGCAGTGTTTCATCCAAAATTGTCATAGGATCTCCTAGACAAATTTTTACAGTTTTTCCTCAGATTAAAAATAACATTCAACTCAATACTTAAAAGGTTCTTTATTTCACTCTTAGACTTAGGCTTTCAGGAAACCTTAAAAATCAGTTACACAGCAAAGACTGATATTGCAAAACAGTGGAGGTGCAGTTCAAAAGAAGAAAAAACCTAACCCATAGTGTCTTCAAATATAAAAATATATATCCAAATTATTACCTAGGGAAAGTGTACCACCATTTCTGTCTTAAGCTGGTCCTGCCAGCTTTGGGGTCATAACTCCCACTACAGAGCTCAAGAGCTCATGCTAGAAGGAGCATCTCCAAGGTTCATGTCACAGGCATGATTCAGAGCAAACTGCTTTGCTGCAGCATATGAACCCAATCTTAAGTTTTCTGAAAGCATTCCATGGTTTTCCCTTGGGCAGTGGGTAATAAGCATCCAAACATCTCCTGGGAAGCATAGGTCATATACACAAAACCATCTTCATCTTTGTAGTCCCTGTATACTTCTGCCATTGTCAAGGACATACTGGCTAGGCTTTTGTTGTTCACCAGCAGGTAGAAAGCTTGCGTAGCTGTTAGAGCCATCCTGCTTCTAAATTAAAAATAGAGGAGAAAAAGAGGATTAAGCATTAGCAAGTTGAATATGGTTTCAGCTTCAGTCTGTGACATACATTAAGCACAGTAGTCGCATGAAGTAGGTACAGGAGACGCTGTGTAAAGTTATGATGTGGTTTAAAGTCTCCATCAGCAGGAAGTTAACTGGAAGCTCAAAGGCTCTGAGGAAAGGCTTACATGGCTATACCAAAGGTGCTGCTGAGCATGGGCTTGAAGTTCCTAGTTTCCAGGGAAGAGTGTGAATAGAAACCAAAAGCTTCTGCAGTGCAGATTTTGTAAAGGATTCCAGCTCCAGTCTGTTAGAATTAAAGCCTACCTTCAAAAAACAAGTCCTTTACAGAGACATTACATAAAAGGATTATGATCTAAGTTGTCCAAGAGCCAAAAGCATCTTTTACAGAAGTTATAATCTAGAAAGGTATTTTTCTATACTTGAATAAATGCGCTGAAAAACATAGCTTTCATATTTTGTCAGAAAATACCCCTAAATATTTTGGGAGACTTCTTTGCCATGATGTTTCATAAAGAACAATTTAGCAGCACATTTCATTTCACACACATTCAAGATCCGCTTTGAACTTGAGGAAATTCAGCTAGGTGCAGTAAGAGAGCAAGGCAGTGACAGTCACAAGCAGAACAAGATCACAGAGCTCCAATAAACAGTCCATGAGGCAGGAAGAGAGAATAAGAGTCTTATATAGCCTTTTTTCACAACAGCTAGGGAAAAGGGAGAGGACTATGAATTTAAAAAAGACATTTTTCCCCCAAGTGCACCTGTAAAAACATCTGTTGATTGTCTTCGAACACTTGCAAGAGAGGAAAGCCATTATATATATTACCAACACCTTTATTCTCCTACCCACCAAAGGAAGCAAGATGTCCCCAGCAGCACACTCTTCTTGGGGAAGAGCAGCCAAGCCCAGGTACAGCTCTAACCCACCCGTATCCACTACCCACCTGATAATGGTTATGAACTGTGCCATGGTCAGCTCCTCGGGGACCAGAAACTTGGTTTTGTCCAAGAGAGGAAGGTATTTCTCCTTCTGGTATCTCTCAACAATTACCTGTTTTAATTAGAGTTACACTTAGCAAACCCTAAAGTATCCAGGTCCCTTTCCCTCCCCTCACACGCTTCTTTCCTTAAACAGCGACCAACAACCTGGGATAACAAACCAGAGATTTACCGGGATTTTTGTCGGGAACTTGGCTCGGATCCCTGCTACTTCTTCCCGCCGGGTGGCTGCGGGTCAGAGGAGAGAAGAGAAGCATTAGGAGTGCACACAGCCCCTCCGCCCCCGCGCAGCCCCTCCGCGCCCCTACCGAGACTCTTCCTGAGCTTGAAGGGCCGCTCCGGCTGCGCCCCGGGCGCTGCCCGCATCCTCCCGCCTCGGGACCGCCGCTGCGCCCGCCGCGCCCTCGCCTTGCTCGGACCGGGACCGGGACCGCCCCGCTCCGCCCGACCCGGCAGCGCGGCCGCAGCCAACGGGAGACGCGCGGCTGCCGAGCCCGCCCCTGCCGCTGTCCCACAGCGCCCTGCTGCGCCCTGCCGTGATGGGCGGTACCCGCGCTGCCAGGTGCTCTGCCTGCACGACGGTGCCATGCTTTGTGAGAGGTCTATGGCTGCCCTGCCCGGTGGTTCAGGGGTGTAGACAAGGCTGGACTGCCCCCAGCTGTCTTCCCTTTCCACATGGCCAGCCTTCTTCATACCGACAAACTTTCAGACTATTTCTTTGGTATTAAAAGAAAACGAGACAACCTACCCCACATACACAAAAGCCCCCAAAACCAAAACAACCCGCCTCCACGCAAAAAACAACCACCCCGCCCCCCGTCATTTTTCATCTCCTCAGGCTACCAGATGTTTATTTCCTGAATGACTTAAGAGCTGAGTTTTAACTCTGGTTTTGTCTCTGAGGTACAGCTGTGATTTTTAAGGGGTTTCGAGCAGACTCCAAGCCCATCTATTTGGTAAATATGATCAGACAGGTTCCTTGCCTTTTGGGTTGCTGGTTCACCTGCTGGTTTACTTCAGCTGATGTAAAGATGGCTTTGCAAACAAACATGGCTCAGCAAGGGGTAAAGTTGACTGCAGTCTGGTGGTTGTGTTTATTAATCATCTCAGTGAGGGTCTGGAACTGATCCTTGTTACTTGTTTGCTGTACTTATCCCTTTAAAGTGTAGGAATTTTCATTTTATCTGATCTATCATTCTGATCATGATCTAGTTGATGTGACATGGTTTAGTGGTGGATTTGACCATGCTAGTTAATGGATGGACTCAAGGATCTTACAGATCTTTTCCAATTTAAATTCTATTATTTTTTACCAGGCTAAGGGCAACTGGAACTTGCAAATTTTTATGAGTCACAATTTATAAGCTATGGATTTGTCTGCTTTGTCAAGGCAAAGTCAATGACTGTCACCCAAGATCATTTTGAAAAGGAGCATCTTTAATAAAGTGTGTGTGCACTATTTATGCATATGTCAGGTTTTTCAACCAGCCTCTCCAGAAGAGTTTCCAGTGGCTGCACGCCTTAATGCTGCTGAGCTCTCCTTTTCTCTTGATCTGGAAACGATGAGCATTAGCCACAGCACAAGCTCCCCCAAGTGGCAGCACAAATTTTATTGTGCAGAGTAGTCACTTGGCTTTGAGGGATTCATGAGCAAGAGCTCTGAACCTTAAGAAAAGCCTTGAGCCTATGCTGGAATGGTTTGACTCATCCCTATTATTTGACTTTTGCATCGGGGCAGGTAAGCCCAGGGGTTGGCTTCAGTAGCTGGGTCTAGCTTAAGGTCTTTAGAATAGAGGTGAGGTGACAGACTGAGGAAGCCTGAGTGGAGGAGGACATGTACCACAGAATTGACACAATGCCATTACTCAGTATGGTGAGTTGCATTTAAGATGAAAGAAAAGAGGAATAATTTGAAGGGTAAACCAACAGCATATACAGCACAGGAACAAAGCCTGTAGGAGACAGGAGGATTTGTGGAGACCAGAGAGTCTTTCTTTGGAACTGTGGTCAAGCATGGGGCTGTCTAAAACTGTTCAGGAAGTGTTTTGGTTCTTCCATACCCTCCTTCTGGTTTCCACCCAGAAGATTCAGTCAAAAGATCTGTGAACAACTTTGTGTAGAGAAGAGGGAACCTGCTACATCAGTGCTCTGCTTCCTGTGTCACCTCTCACTGCAGAGGAAGTACAAAGGTATGGGTCCACCCAGGTATCAGCAGCCCTGCTCGCAGGGAGAGGTGGTTTCTTTTCATGTTCATAAACTCCTATGGAAGCATCTAGAGAGGAAAGTGAATATGTGATAAGAAGGTGAGCCAAAGAAGATGAATTCCCAGCAAGCCTGGTGATCAGTTATGGCTCTAATGTCTGTGAGAGCTAAGAATGAGCAAAAACCCAGGTTTTAGTTAGTATGTGCTAATAATGTAAATATGTCATATTTTCTGGAGATAGAGAGAATGGGATGTCTAATGTGTCTGCATAGCCCCTACACTTGCTTCTGCAGTGAAATACCCAGTTGTCTTGGTTTGAAGACAGGTGTTTGTTAAGAAAGGCAGGAGCCTTTCTTAAAATGGACAATGTAAACCCCCTCCCTCCAAATTATTACAACTTTGAAACTAAGAAGCTCTCAGGTAAAGATATGGGAATAGGAATAACAGTTCTTTACTAGGAAAAATTAAAAATAAATACAGTATTACAGAAAAAAAACAAAACCAAAACACGGACAGAGTCAGAATACAACCTGACACCCGTCAGTCAGGGTGTTGGTAGCAGTCCCATTAAATGGTGGCTGCAGTCTTCCTGGAGTGACAGATGTGGTTCAGTTGAAGCAGTGGTTCCATAGAAGGGTGCAGTTTTCCTCCTAAGGTTTAGTGATGATGTGGAAAGGTTCGGTTTTCTTCTGGAATTCAGTAGAAAAAGGCTGCCTTGGTGATCCAAATTTCAGTTTTTATCTAGGTAGGAAATGCTTGGCTCCTTCCCCTGGGTGGAGCATCTCCCAACGTGCTGATGTAGTTTTGTCAGTCATGCAGTGGAACTCAATAACCCATTAACAGAAGATATCTTCCTGGAGGAAAGATAGGTTGTGGAAAAGATAAAGAACACTGCCCCACCTAGTTTTTAACAGATCGCCAATTAACAGAAGATAACCCCCTGCGGAGATAAGGATCACTGCCCCACCTGGTTTCAACAGATGGTGATAGAATACATACTTTTGGTAATATCCAGCTTTGCAAGCCAAGACACCAGTTTCAGACCTAAATGTGGAATCTATTCCTTCTTACTTCCTTTCCCTTAGAAGCTTTTCTTACATGCGCATAATTAATGAACTGATAGAGCAATTTTGCTTAGGGAATGGAGTACTCAGAAGATCCTATTGATACAGAAACAGAGGGACCAAAGGGAATTATTATTCTATTTCTACCTGCTTGAATGTCTAAAGCCAACACTTATAGGCATCCTGTAAGTCCCCAAACATTAAAGCACAGAGTTCCGTATCTTATCTAGTCCAGTTTCATTGCCACATGCACAGCCTCTTTCAAAGCCCAAGGTCTGCAGCTGTGTAGCTGAATTCTCACGTATCCATTATCTCCATATTGAAGTGATCTGCTCTGCAAGTGCTCTCCAACTCTCCAATGTGTCCCAAGGACTCAACAACATAGCCAAAAGCAGGCATCTCCTTTTTGCAAGTGCTGTGAGATTCGCCCTGCTTTCAGCTGGATCTGTGAGCTACTGTGGAGATGAGGGTCAAGTTATCTGTAGACTAACAATTTAAATATGAATTATAGAGTGCTAGAAGGACTGAGATTTATTTTTTTAAGCAACCTAACTGAATTGCATGAAACCTAACTGAAACTGCAGCATGATGTTCTAGGGAAAATATGTGACTTGGCAAAATGAGGGCTTACTTGTCGCTCTGCGAAAGCCTGTGAAATTCTACAGTATTATGCATAGTTACCTTAAATACATGTTTTCATGAGAGTTGTCTGTAAGTGAAAATAGTCAGGAGGATTTGAAGAGCCCTCAAGCAGTCAGACTCAGCCAGCCAATTTAATGGTCTTCTTTTAGGATGGTTTAAAAGAGCCATCCTAAATATTTGCATGCTTCCCGAACATGGGTAGTTACAGATAGGGAATCCTTCACTTCCTTCTTCCCTTATGCAACTCCGAATCTGTCTATATGTCCTCCTGTGACACAGAAGCAAGTCTACTTTTGTGGATAAGCTTGAAGAAATTGTGTGCCAGTAACTAAATTTCTGAATTCATATGTCCTTATACCAAAGCGTTAACTGGAGTATTATTATGTTTAAAGGGATGCTTAGTACTGTATCTCTGACTTTAGTCCAAACTCATCTACTAATAAGACTCAGATTATCAAATATCTCTAAATGCTGAGGTAAGTTCAAAGGTCAGCAGTGGTATTTCTCAGTTGATTGGCTGGAGTTTATATGTATTTTCGGGTCTTTGTCTCTTGATTTTTTAACCCTTATATTGAACTTAGATCATAAGTCTGATGATTTTTTTGGTGTAGCCACAAGGATTAGAAATTAGTTATGTGACTTTTAAACCAGACATTATGACTGTTTTGTACCTGAGCTTGAGATTTTGATCTTAAAATGTCTCTTCTGCATAAGAAACTTCAGTTAGACTCAATTCTCTCTTTCTTACTTTTACCTGGTGGCTGGTGTTCAGCTCATTGTGACAGAATAGCTTTTTTTATGCTAGTATTTGGATTCAGTGCACCAGTTGTACTTTTCGTGAGTTCTCTCTCTTTCATTTCAGATTTTTAAAATCACTCTCAATATTAATTAGGTACAGTTTCAACCATATTGAAATATCTGAGCTATAGTGGAGTATCCTCGGTAGTGTTTAAGGTCTTTCACATGATAAGTGCTCCTGCTTTAGCATTTTAAATTTTACAAGGATTTGAGACCTAAATTCTCAGTATTTTTCAGCAAGGATTGCTCAAATTGGTGATTCTGACTAGGTGTAAAGCCAAAAATAAATCAGTGACTCTTTTTGAGAAAAGTTGGTGTGAGCTGGTAACCTGTTGGTCGAGGACCCTGCAAGTACATTTTTTACTTTCTATTTCCTCCTGTACCAGTGGTTTACCGGCTTTTTGTCCTACAGGGGCTGAATTCAAGGTCTAGGTAAATGTTAAAAAGGGAAAAACATTATTGGATATTCCTTTCCTATCATCTACTCTCTTGTTACCATTACTAAGATGCAATTTATTATGTTTTATGTCTACAGAAAAAACAGAATTGATGTTGTTGTTGTTGTTGTTACTAGGCAATTTCCTTGATCATCTCTTTGAGAAACTAAAGCAGTGCTCTTCTCCTGGACTGGAATCATGGGACAAAATTTCTTTCTTATCTTATTGTGTCTGCTGTTTTACTTGGTA